GCGGGGCCTCTTTAAACAAAGATGCCATGCTTTTTTTGAGAGCCAATTTAAAAAAAATGGTCCAAAATTTGAGTAAATCTCTGAATACATGTATTTTCCCTTTCGTTTTATTTTATGTGAAATATCTGTGTTGATGGGCCTACTTTTAGGCTATATTTTAGATTTGGACTGACGGTAGGCTTGTATGTTTCAAACTATTGTCTGTTAGATAAGTTTCCAGTTGATTTGTTTTTGTGGGGGGGGGGTATCCATTTTAGTTCATTTAATTAGTAATTTTTGATATTTTAAAAGAAATGCGGAGAATATCAATGCCGTTTGTGAAAAAATCATTTTTTAACAACGGCTCTGTATTAAAATGTCAACATTGCACCCAATTGACCTTTGACTGAGTCTGCGCATATGTTGTTTACGTGAATGCAAAACCACGTGATCCAAAAAATGGCGTCTAAGAGAATAGTGTCCTTGAATTTTCAGACTGTTATTTGTTTTTTGTTGATTATCTCAGTTGCATGTGCGTTGATCACGTAGATATGGATGGAAATAGGTAAATGGAGTTTGATTCCTGAAGAATTTGGCAAGTTGTAGACATTTTGAGCTCGTCTTTCTGCGTTTAGTTGACGTAAAGACAGGTCTTTATGCAGTCTCGATTATTTTTCATGTATTTCAGTATTACATTTGCAGTGTCAATCAGTGAAATTATTTGTTAATTGGATGTGTTTTAGCTGTCAAATCGACATCTGATATGAACAGTGGCATAAACTAGACTCAAACAAAACTGGAAGTAAAATTTGATACAAATTAACCAAGCAAAACTGAATGTTGAGTCTTTTTTTGGCTGGAAAATTTGAATTATTGAACATATTTGTGGTATAAAGGGATGGTTATTTTTAAGCTGTTTATAGAACAGGTGTTATGACGTTATAGTAGGTGTCAACAAGTTTTGTTTTTATCTGTAAAACATCAAATCCATATTATTTGGCTTTGATATTTCACAGAGAAGAACAGTTAAATTCACATCTTTCACCTGGAAGTTGGAAGATATAACATTGATCTTAAATATTAGAAAGTGAACCATCTGGATATCTATATGAGACAATTTGTGTATTTATAAATCACTGTAAGTGGATGAATAACCAAATAATTGATTTCATAGTTTTTATAACCATATTGTATCATTTCATAGTGAACTTATAGACTCTGATATTGTGAATTTATGGTAGAATTTCGTATCAGACTGTGAAATTTATTTGAAAAAAATTTATGGAAAATAGTGAAAGGGGCAAAGATATTTAAAATTTTTAAATAGGGTTGTGCAGTGAAGTGGTCAAAGATTTTTATGTGCTTACTTCATGAATTCTTGACTTTTCATTGTGAAACAAACTTTAAAGTACGGGTAGCCAGTAGCCAGTGTATTTGACAACGATAATCAAAAACTGGATAAGAAATTTAGCTTTGAATTCATTATACAGTGTTCTCATTTATTGTATAAATAATTCATTGAGGCCTAGCTGGGATAATTAGCTGATGTCCTGAAATGGAATTTACTGTTTCAACCACTGCGAAGATAATCCTGCTCAACGAAATAAAACGGTGATGTTTTTTTCTGAACTCTGTAATTGAAGAGTTATAAAATCAAGATGTCCGATTTTGAGGCGTTGCCAGTTCATCATGGCCAAAGAACGTTTGAAAGACCGGGTTCAGACATTAAGAAGAAAGGTAGTCTTCGGAAATTGAAGGTGAGTTTGTTCTCTTCTTATGACCTAGGCCAGTGCCTCTATAGGAGAGTATCTTCTATAACACCCAACATAGATAATATAATTAGTCATGCGAACTCTCTTAAAGAGATGCTGGTAATAAGTGATAATAGAATATATCAGTTGGATTGTTGACTGTTTTAAAGGCCATTAGTTTCCTTGGGTTTGAATCTGCCTAAGAATAATTCTGATGCCTGTGCCAGTGCTTCCAAAAGCCTGCCAGGGGCAGCTTTCACCCACTCATTATACTGTAATTATGTAATTAACTCTGAATGTGAAGTAAATATCCTAATTATGTGAACTGTCTGAAAGAGATGCTGAGTTGACAAAACAGAAAGCTTAATTAGTATTCACATGACATATACACTATAAATATTAACTATGGGACAATGTAATGATATTTTTTAAGCCTATCTGTTGCTGTTATGACAAAATTATTTAACCTTTAGTTATTGGATCAGTGGAGTAATTGTAGGTCAGTATAAGTTGTTTTGATGACACATTAATTTCAAATAGGTCTAATCTATTACTGTGTGGATGATAATGTTTTGAGAGCTTCAGTTAACAAAAATATTGTTCAATGCCACGTTCAATGCTTTCGGGAATCAAATTAGGCACGAGAAGGCCTATCATTTTGTAGGCTTTCACTTATCACCTTATTTGTAAACAAGAGTAAGATCAACAGGTGTTATGGTTATGCATATAAATTATTTCACAACCCAGAAAACAAGTTTTGAAACAATATATTTATCAGTTTCTTTGGTACAAGGTCAGAGTCCTTTGACCTACTCTGATAACACAACATCATTCTCTAGTAAACAAAATTATCAGGTGTTAGATATGTGCATTCTGTTTTTTCCTAGGGCCTAGATCAACGTTTTTTTCGATCAAATTTATGAAAACTTTACAGAGAATAGAAATACACTACCCTTTCAAAAATACCTAAAATTTCACGAATCTTTACTGAAAATTGTCAACAAATGTGTGCTCATGTTAATGTCTTTACTCTTGATCAACGGAAAGACATTCTAAGACTAACAGTTCAGATTTAAATCTGATTTTCTTAATGTCATAAAAATAATTGGTAAAATTTGATACACTAACATACTTGATAAGACAGTTATACAGTGATTAATGGTATAACATATAACTAAGGTAATCAAAGTGTGTCTATATGCATGTGTAGGTAGTTAGTTATGTTGTTTTGCTATAATAAATCATGCCTCAAGGCCAAGGTAAGACTTGATACATAAACAAGAGTAACAACCGAAGGTATTGATTGATTGTTTTGCGTTAATCAGAAAGAAAAATATTTTTTATGGCTTACATCACTGTATCAAAACAACGTTAAGACCTACTGTACTTTCTTAATATATCAATCAATAAATAGAATTATATAACAGTAAATATTGTTTGTATTGAGTGTTATAGAAGATGCTCTCCTATAGAAGCACTGGCCTAGGTCTCAGATTCTCTCCTATAGATACTTAAAGACCTACTTTACTTTCTTACACATGTATCAGTAAATAGAAAAATTTATAGATTATTTTTATGAAAATAACATTCATTAATAAATCAAATCTTACAGACTTTTTTTTATGAGAATTGATTTTACTTAGAGTTTTATTATTTGTAAACAGATTATTTTATAAGAATTGGAATATCAGCCTCAAAATAGCATTGTTAATCTTAGAATAACCTTATTAGATACAGATCAGTAGGGTATAAAACTCAATTTTGGTAAAATAATAAGGTACCAATCAGTTGGATTTAAAACTTCATTGTAGTAAAATAATTAGGTACAAATTGATAGGATGTAAAACTTCATATAAACGAAGTGCTGATTTTTTCTTTCAGACAATGAAGAAGAAGTTTTTTGTATTGCGGGGAACAAGTAGCAGTGGACCAGCTCGGCTAGAATATTACGATTCCGAAAAAAAGTTCAACCTTAATCATGCTCCCAAACGTTCCATCGATCTTCATACATGTTTTAATATTAATAAACGAGTGGACCGGAAACATAACTACGCCATTGCTTTATATACAAAAGACGATTGTTTCACGGTTCTCGCAGAAAATAAAGCGGAGCAAGATGATTGGTTGTCAGTATTATTAGAATATCAACTACAATACGTGTACCATGACGAGAATCGAGAACATTTTGGTGAGTTGCTTCTTTACTCCTGTTCAATGAGAGAACCTAGCTTGTCAAATCTGTCAAATGTGATAACCCATCTGTATATCATGTCAGTTGGAAATAAAAAAATAGTTGCTGTCCTGGCAAAATTTCCCTCATCGCACCCTGCATGGCGCTGCCTGTCTTCATTAACCCATATGGTGCAGAAAAGTAGGACGAAAAACTCCATTCATTTCATTTGTATATTTCAGAGCATGTATGGCAAGTGAATATCAAATCGAAAGGGTTAGCTTTAAGTCCTGAACATAAACATCTTCGAGGCTGTCATCGCTTGTGTTTATCCTCTCAGAATATCTGTATTGTAAAGTTAAACACCGACAGACCCATATACGTCTTTCAGGTAAGCCAGACTGTTGGTTTTGAATGATAAGTGCTTCAAATACTGCCAATGCGTGTTAAGGATACGCAATCCTTATCAGGACAGCTAGTATCAGTAATGGACTTCTCTTTTTAGATTTTCAAATGTCGAGGGATCTTTAACATGCACAGCCTGTTACACACAGGGCCTTGGTTTATTGTCCCGTCCAAATGACTAGATGCTTGTCCAACCGCTCCAATCTGCATCATCGACAGGGTCCCATATGAGCCCCTCCAACTTTTGAGTATGTGAACTCTCTGAATGGAAGTGAGAAGTCAAGGACGTGAAGACACAGGAACCAATATTGAGGGAGCTTGCCAATGTCTTGTTTTCTGATTAAAATTTAACTCACAAACATCACATTTGTAAGGTTTCCACTTTATTACCTACAACATCATTTAGATCCAGGCTGATAAAAAACTGTGTAAGCTGTCCACCACCACACCTAGCCCTAGGCCTGTGATATTCAATTTTGAAGTGAAAATTAAGATGTTTTCATGCTCAAAATACATCTCCGGCCATCTGATATCCTTTGGCAGCCCCTAGACCCCTGGCAAAATATTGTGCTTTTATTAGAAAAGACAATATCAAGAGGTCTGGCCAAGGACTAGCTGGTCGACAGTTTCTCGAGAACACCCGAAGTTTTCATTCGTTCCCTGTGTTTCTGTAATGAGTTTTCAATCCCAGACAATAATCCTCTCCTTATAATATGATAGGCAGGCTAGGGAGTGTAAATCCTTAATCTATTTTACATTTCAGCTAGCTACAGTTCGCTCTCTAGGTATTAGTGATTGTTTATTCCGAATGGAAGTTGGTAGCATGGCGTCAACGGGTCCTGGAGAGCTCTGGATGCAGGTGGAAGACTCCAGTACGGCTCACACCATGCATGATTGTATATTCCAGTAGGTGCTTGTTTCTTTGTTTCTTTCCTTTCTATAGACATCTTTCCTCAGTATTCCAGTTGACACAGCTGTAAATGGGTACAAATCTGAGAAAGATCAATGTTAAGAGGTTTGGTCTGGACCAGCTGGCAGAAGGGATACTTGTGAACCTAAGTAGTTATCCTTGTTAAAAACTGGTGGTGTCTTCTGGTGTAAGCATCCCTCCCAGAAAATCTTACCCCAGCTTAGAAAGCAACCTTCCTTTCTATTGTTGATGTTATTACAGGTGTATGAAGACTGCGTCAAGTGTGGTGGAAGTAGATTTAAAGATTAAAGAAAGGACACGATCAGGGACGATCAATTCAACCATAGCTCAACGATCTAATGATCCATCACGAGCTCGTACCAATACATTTGGTGCCTGTGACAGGTAAGTCTATTTTTAGATTTATACACGTTAATAATAAGGTGGGGAATAAGCTAGTTAAAGGTACTGTGTGTACCGGGGACACTGATAGCATCAATTTAAACCATTCCAATTTTTAATCAGACATCCATGGTTCTTGTAATTCTATTAAAACTAAATAGTTCATACTGAAATCCATAGGCTCTACCTAGGCCAGTGCTTATGTGAAAGAGTATGTCCTATAATATCTAACACCTATCCTGTGTATTTTTCAGTCCAAGTCGTATAAGAAGTAAACCAAGTGATAAACGACCGGTATCCTGTAGTCCTAATGTATCTATCTCTGTACCAGGCCAGTTTAATACTCTCCCCAGCACTAGTCCATTATTGTAAGTATAATCATAACACATCTTCACAATGTCAGACTGTTACAAACTTCGTCTCATACCTTGACTGCAATAGCTACCTCTCTTTTTATCACAGAATGCAGTGATTTGATGGATTGTAAACCAGCGAATACAGCCAATCAGAGGTCTTTACAGAAAGGCTGTAAACTTTATGGCTTTGTGTTCACAGACTTTCTGTCAAGGCCTCTGATTGGCTGTATTTGCTATCAGAAACTTCAATTTCTGTATTTGAAGTTGTATTCCTGCAAAATTGAATATTTAGATGAAAATATCTCTATGCATTCCATCACGCTGTTTCACTTCTTTTTTTTTCGAATTCCAGTAATTTAGATTATCCAGGTCATAGGTTAAGATCAGACAGTGCGGAATCGAGAGCCTCAAGGAGAAGCAAACACGATGAAGAATTTGATTACTTCAGGTAAGTTTCTTACAGTTATCTACCTTGATAGTAGGTGGCCTTGTTTAAGTTTTAGACATTATAAATAGTAATGAATACTTTGGTGCTGGGGCTTTTATAGTTTTGATTTCCATTGTAGACTGTTAACATTAACGTAAGGCAGCACTTTCCTTACAAATTCTCCTTATTGCGTACTGCATTATGTTCTTGCAAAGTGGCTTACGTATTCGTGGAAGTGCTATGCAGATCAAAGGCACTTAATCATGGCTGTGTTGTTGTATTTTTCAGTGGTATGAATGATTCTGTAGATGTAATCAGTGAAGAAGGCAGTGGACAAGCTTCTCTTGATTTTACCTCATTGCCTTCTTCCCCTAGTCAGCTCCAAGGTACGTTTTCTTTTTCTCTTGTTCAATGAGTTCATCCTATCGCTTATTTTTGAATTTCATGCTCCTGTCTTGGCACAGTTGCTACCATTAAAAACTGGTTGATGTTGCTTCTCTTTTTCCATCTTGCAGCCGTATTTACTTAATTATTCTTTTACAGAGCATTTGAAAATGTCACCTGAGGAAGAAGGCGGAGCTTTGAGTTCATATATGGTCATGAATCCAGGGTCAGCCACACCCCCAGCTGTCAATCATAATACTAATGCAGTCAGTAGCTACATGGACATGACGGCACGCCCACAAAGAACAAGTAAGTTCAGACCTTTGATTGCTCCATCCAGTAGCGAAATTATTCTATACAGGGCTCAAATAGTATTGGTAGTCTCAGAGTTTGATCTCAGGCTGAAATAGGTCAGTTGTCTGAAAATTTCACAGCTTGAAGCTCGGAGAAACAACATGTCTCAGGTTCTGTTTTAATATATTTCTATATTGCTCTACAATTGATGTATCGATTTTGTTAAAACAGATTTGATCAATTGGTGTTTATCTATTTTCCAGGTGGAGACACCAGTCCTTCTGTCGTAGGAGCCAGTGAAGGTTATTTAAATATGTCATTAGGTCGACCCCCTGCGTCATCACCCATACCTATCAGAGGTCCACCTGAAGTTCTCTATAAGGACATGACCTGTCATACGTCACATTTACCAACAGTCACTGAGGGTGGAAGTAAGTACTATTTTTCCTGAATATTCTCACAATTATTTTAATTATTACTTATTTTGTCGTCACCTCAACCTGTGCTTTTGTAAATGATATGTCGTTGAACCACTCTAAACCAAAAGGTCTGCATAACAACAACTATTGAATTTTGTTTGTGTCATTTCAGGCAATGAGGGTTATCTGCCCATGTCACCAACGTCTGCTGGACAGAATTCATTCTCTAGTGACCATCTTAAACCAGAGCCAGCTATCTGTATGCTGGCAGAGGATACCACAGACTTTCCGAAGCGGACGTATTCGTTGGGTAGCAAGCCTCCTGTTAGTACAGCCAATAAGAATTCAGGATATTTGGACATGACTATTAATAAAGGGGTGGCAGATAAAGGACGAAGTTGTAGTGCTCCACATTTAATTCCGAATCGTAAAATACACATGGATTCTCCCACGCCCAGCGTTAGTCCCCTCAGTACGTCTATGCGATCAGACGACTCTGAATCTTTCATGGAGATAGACTTTTATCGACCGAGAACAGCAAGTGATAGTTTTAGTTATCGTCCTCGTGCATCTAGCTTTGGAAATAAAACACTCCAACAAGCCCACGGACATCGACCACGATCTTCTAGTCACGGACAACAAGCCAGGGTCTTCAGAACAAAAGCTTTTGAATCAGCTCGTACAACTTCCGAAGAGTTGAGACAATCAATGAATTCCTGTCGTGGATCGGCAGATTCTTTAAAGATGTCTTCCAGTGAGTCGCTACGGAAACTATCCCGTGAAGTCAGAGCTAAAACATCGTCATTGTTAAGCACAGATTATTTAGATATGTCGATAGATAAACGCAAAACTCCATCACCTCAACCGAGTTATATTTCTGGTCAGAAACCAAATGGATACGTAGACATGACACTTGGCAACCGAAGTTCATCGCCAAGCCATTGTCGTCTGCCTCAAGAAAGGTCAGGGTCATTTAGCGGTAATTTCAACAAAGCTCGTGAGAAAGTCATGCAGGAAAGATCAGGTTCATTCAGTTCTGGTACCTCTCATCGTATTATGCCTGTTAGTGAAATTGTGTCGAAGAAATCCCACAGTGCGGACGTGATGCATAAAACTTCCACCTCCTCTCTTAATGAGATGAAGGCAGATAAATCAGACTTGTATATGAATATGGATATGTCTTCAAGTCAAACCTCAAACGAGTCGCGGAAATCTGACAAAGACTCGCGATCTTCGTCATCAGAAAATTTGGAGTCTTACGTCATGTACGAACCAAAGGTCCCGACAAACACCAATAATACAAGTACAGCTATTGGCTCAAAAAAGTCCAGTCATCGACCAATGAGTGAGTCTTTCAGACAAGTGGGTGAACGACCAATCAGAAAAGATCCAAGACGTAAAAGCAGCCATCTTCCGAAATCCAACCAATGGTTTTCTTCGCATCAAGAGCGGTCTCAGATTGATAAGAATGATGAATATATAGAGTTCTCTCCCATGGCCACAAAATCTCCAGATCCAAATTCCAACATGGTGTCTCATCAACGCCAACATTCTAATCCAAAACGTGAGTCAATAGGTAGTCATGGTGACCAATCTTCAAGCAGACGCGAGTCAAAGTCAAACAAATCTGTTGAAAGTTCAGACTACATTGGTTTCTCTCCTGGACAAATTGGTATGAACGTGTCTGAAAACTCAGCGCCAAAACCCTCTGAAAATGGTGATAGCTCGGAATATATGGGGTTTGAGCCTGGAAATATTGGTGGCAAACCAGAGGAAAAGAGGGATAACTCTGAATATATGGGGTATGAACCTGGTAAGAATACAGAAAATGGTAAAAGTTCTCCTGTTGCCAGTCAAATGGTTGTTCAAAAATCTTATTTTGGAGACACAACCTCAGTTCCGAAAACTAACAAAAAATTGGGGCAAGTAAAATCCAAAAATATACCAGCGTCTGCAAAAGATGAAAATGAATATTTAAATTTTGAGCCTGCAGCGTCCGTGAACCGAAAAAACAAACAAAATAATTCGAAAACTCAAAACGTGACACAAAAATCTGTTAATGTTCCTGCGAAATCCACAAATAAGGAAATTCCAAAAGCTGTTGAGGAAACAAAACCAGCTGTAATACCGGACGATTATTTGTTAACGGAAAAATTGGAGAAAACTGTTGCCACAACAACACCAATTCCTGTTCCAATCAACCCCCCATGTATTATATCAGTCGAAGATGGAAATTCCAAAAAGGTAGTGAAGTCCCCAGTTCAGAAGAAGGGAAGCAGTAACAGTTTGACATCTGGTCAAGATGGCAGCGTTGTCAAGGATACCAAAATTCCTGCACGTCATAGTCTTTCAGATTTGAGTGGTTATGAACAAATGAACTTCCAGACTCCGAACATAAAGATTCAAACGAAACAGGGGTCAAATAATAGCATGACCTCAACGGGTGGGACAGACGTGAAAACTTTGACCTCTTTGGGGTCACCTTCGAATATCGTCTCTTCAATGTGCAATTTATCTGTTAATGTTCCCATAGCAACAAACACTTCCACTTCATTGCCAGCCAATGAGGAGTGTTTGAATTATGCGAAACTTGACCTGGGGTCATCGGAGAATATTGGCGAGGACGGAGTTCGGTCTCCGAGAATAAAAAGCAGACACGCTTCGGCTGCGGAAGAAAAATCAGAGCCTTTGTCGTACGCTGAAATTGATTTTGAAAAAAGTGAAAATATGAAGACGTTAGCAAACTTAAAAATAGACAATTAGTGTAGATTTAAGATGAACTTTTAATTGACTTTTAATTATATATTGCCGGTGTGTCCCCTTGCCTTTTGATAAGGGATACAGTCCTCTAGTTTTTCCTGTTATCTACTGATGTATCTGGATTCCAGTGGCCTGTACCACTTTTCACAAAGAAAACTAATATCAAATTTGTCTATAATAAGATAAATAATGCTATTAACAGCAGTTTGTTTGCATTTAATTGTAGGCAAACCATTGCAAACTTTCTATTCTGAGAAGAGGTACAGGGGGCTAGAATTGAGCTCTATCGGCTGGTTAAGAGAAAAATTCTACGATTGTATCTCTTCAGTATTATTCTTGCTTAAGCCGGGAATAGACGATGTACAGTGTCTGGTGTGGTTGTACGATGTAGGATCATGGATATAAACGAAAATATGACAAGTGTCTGGACATGATTTGTGTCTACTATATTCTACTGTATCGATGATCTCACACTGTACAGCACCGAACATGGTTCCTCTTCTATTCTTACCTTAATATGAACTTTTACTATAGCTAGTTAGTGTAAAATAGACTTATATTTTTTGATATTTGTTTGCCTGAATTCCATATTTCCATATGGATCTCCGTCAATGGATGGCAAATTCAGTCCAGATTTTTTTAGAACTTTATTTTGGATCATATTGTGTGCACATTATAGGTCTGTCATTTATACAATTGATGTATTGAGTACTATTTTAATAGTGGTATTTCTATATCACTCTACAATTGATATATTGAGCACTATTTTAATGGTGGTATTTCTATATTGCTCTACAATTGATGTATTGAGCACTATTTTAACAGTGGTATTTCTATATCGCTCTATTAATTGCACTGAGTACTGTTTTAACTGTTTAACCTTCATTAACAGTGGTGTTTAATATCACTCTATAATTATTGTACTATTTTAATGTAATGAGCACTATTTTAACAGCTCTGTAAGTGGATTTTCTATCGCTCTGTAATTAATGCATTGATCATTCTTTTAACAGTGGTATTTCTATATTGCTTAGTATTTTAACAATGGTTTTTCTATATCGCTCTGTTGTAATGTATTGAGCACTCTTTTAACCCCTCTGTAAGTTGATTTTCTTTATCACTCTACAATTAAAGTATCGAGCTATATTTTAACAGCTCTGTAAGCTGTATTTCTATATCGCTCTGTAATTAATGCATTGAGCACTATTTTAACACTGGTATTTATATATTGCTCTACAATTGGTGTATTAAGTACTATTGTAACAGTGGTATTTCTATATTGCTCTATAATATTGATGTATTGAGCACTATTTTAACAGTGGTATTGCTCTGTTATTAATGCACTACTATATTAACAGCTGTGTAAGTTGTATTTCTATATAGCTCTGTAATTAAACTATATTAACAGTGGTATAATCTTGTTATATGTATATTGTTATATGTATATTGTATATTGTTATTGTATTTTTTCTGTTACAAGATAATACTGTTCAACCCCATTCATAATAATGATATAATAAATTGTTCTTCAATATTTATTTTCATTTGATTGAAAACTTTGCTTGGATGTTCTAGTTTTGATACCTTGTTCATCATTCTCTATTGGGGGCTGCCATGAAATACTGTAAGATGTTGCAGAGCGCTTGCAAAACGTTGGCAAGGGAATATTTTCTTCCCCATCTGTCTCTCTGTATTTCTGATTGGTCAGTCAATAAAACTTAACTACAAGTTAGCCCTAACAGCCAATCAGATTGCTGTATTTCTGATTGGTCAGTCAATAAAACTTAACTACAAGTTAGCCCTAACAGCCAATCAGATTGCTGTATTTCTCAAAAGCTTGACCCTGTCTAAATTGTTATTTATAGGCTTCTTTAAGGAATACAGTGATCTGATTGGTTGAAAACTAGGTTAACTATGTCCTTTCAGTAGTTTCTTGATATGAGATATATTCTTAGAAATTTAAAGGACTTTAAGGGTTTTTCCAAGTTACTAAAAATAAATAGTAGGCTACACAAGGAAGTACAATATAATGTTAAGAGGAGATAAGATTGGCTCTATTGAACAGTTATCCCTGATTTTCAGTGACTAGTTTCGTTCAGGATTGAACAATGTAATGTTATTTGGTTTGGCTTGATCCTGAACGTTGTAAAGGATGTTCTTTTTAGAAGGTACAGGTGTATATTTAACCTATTTTCAGGTTGTGTGTATAGTGTAGAATAGGCCCTTTTTAAAAGAGGTAAAAACCGGATGGCCTACTGATAATCCAGGAAAGATAAATATCAAGAGGTGTGATCAAAAACTAGCTGGTAGGAAGGATCCTCGTGACCTAGTGTTACCCTTGTTAGATCATTGTCAAGAGGTATGGTCAAAAACAAGCTGTTAACATAGCTTATTATCCTTGTGAATTATGATTGTTTCAGCCTTTTTTTCTAAAAACAATCATTTTTCAACTCTTTCATTTTAGAATTTTTGATATTTCCCTCCTTCATTTTTTTCAAAATTTTATAGACTGAAGCTGATGAGGTGAAACAAAATGGATGATGATTATGAAAAGCCTGACATTAACTTAGCAACCATCTCATGTCACCATGGTGATAATATTAAGAGAGTTTTAGAAAACGAATGTAGCTGGCATCAGACAAGATCTGATGGGATCTGTGTGACGGATCGCCCCCTACAGAAAGACGATAGTTACGAGGTTACCATACAAGGGACTGGTCGTCTGTTACTAGGCATCACGAGTGATCTCCCTTGTATTCAGTCCATCAAAGACGGTAAGAAATCTACAATAAGTTCTCAATGTCAAGCTACTACAAACTTCATACTTATACCTTGACTCCAATAGTCACCTTTCTTATATATGCATCGATTTCTTTGGATTGTATTTTGGCAAATACCATACTTCCTCATGTGAAGAGTTTATTAGCTGCTATGAATGTTTCTCCAATATGTTGTTTGGATTTCGTGTTTCATTTTGCAGTTCGGATCATTAGTACTTGGTTTATTTATTCAGGCCAGCAGCCATCAGTATCAGTAGGAAACTGGTATCAAATACGTCTGAAGGAAGAAACAGAGAAGATGACTGTGGAATATCTGGACAAGAAGATCTGGATATACGAATCTTCTAAAGAGCGAAAATCAGATCATGGAATTCACATTCGAGACAAAAAAAAACATTTTATCATTGTTAATGCTTTGTTTGGTGAAATGGGCATTGAAATTATTCCTAAAGGTATTATTTATATTAGTATTGCTGACAGTTTTAAATAAAAAAGTTTCCCCTGTCAGTGATGCAGGTTAGAGGGACTGACGTCTAGTCGTACGGATGGGACAATAAATCGAGGCTCTGTGTGCATGATGGGAAAAAGGTTTCAACTAAAAATATGGAGTCTTTATGAGGCTGGACATTTAAAAGTTTCTCAGTTTTTAATTAACCCTTTTAAAACAAATTGCGTTGGATCAAGTAGATATATAGATATAAATAACATACTTTAGAAATATTTTCAGGTATAATTTACAATGATTTTGATAATGAAATTGTGCTCCTTTGATATTGCAGATGTGAAAAAATCCAAGAGTAAAGTTAAACGCATGAAATGGTGGAATACATGTGGATTAAACGTACTGATACAGGACAGTTCTACTTGGTTCAAGCTACGCTATTTTAATCCTCTAGGTTTCTGTGCCTTAGAGCAGCCTATAAAGACTGGTAGAGGTTTCTCTGTGAGGGTTCTAGAAACATTTGGATCTTGGCATTATTTATACCTTGGTTTATCAAACAAATCACCCCAGGCAGTCCAATTGAACGATTGGAGGATTTTTTACAATAATCAACATGGTACGTTTTTTTGGATTATTTTTTCATTATGTTTTAAATTTTTTATGCCCTTATATTGAATAGCTCAGTCGGTAGCGAGTTGAACAGACGTGGGATAGCTCATTCAGTAGCGAGTTGAATTGTTGTCTGCTAGAGTAGTGGGATAGCTCATTCAGTAGCGAGTTGAATTGTTGTCTGCTAGAGTAGTGGGATAACTCAGTCAGTAGCGAGTTGAATTGTTGTCTGCTAGAGTAGTGGGATAGCTCATTCAGTAGCGAGTTGAATTGTTGTCTGCTAGAGTAGTGGGATAGCTCATTCAGTAGCGAGTTGAATTGTTGTCTGCTAGAGTAGTGGGATAGCTCATTCAGTAGCGAGTTGAATTGTTGTCTGCTAGAGTAGTGGGATAGCTCATTCAGTAGCGAGTTGAATTGTTGTCTGCTAGAGTAATGGGATAGCTCATTCAGTAGCGAGTTGAATTGTCGTCTGCTAGAGCAATGGAATAACTCAGTCAGTAGCGAGTTAGATTGTCGTCTACCAGAGTGAACATTTGTAACTTTCTGATATTTTGTTTTATTTTCCAGTGGAGGGCAAAACACCATGGCCGAAACACGTTGTTCCTTTCTTAAAATTGAAATGCCCAAAACAACTAATGTATTTTGTATGGAAGGGAGGTAACTCCATATTTTATCAAGAAGGTAATGGGGAAGCTCAAGAAGTGAATTTTGAAGGACTTGATACTCTTCGTCCAATATATGTGTTTTTGGAACCGTTCCGAGAACACATCCAAGTTGACAGTCGAAATATTCTATTGGAAGGTAGGTGCAAACTCTGGGCGTCAAAAGATCTTGGGATATGCGCGGCATTTCTCAAAGTAAGCATCACTTTTGGTCCTTTCCTCCATTTGCAGTCTCAAATTGTATGCAAACTGTAAGTCAATCTTTTTATTTGAATAGAGATACAGAAAACTGAAATTTAGCTGAACCATTCAGCATTCAATGTGTGGCAAAAATTAAATCCTTTATTCCATTTGTAGCCATCAAATTGTATGCAAACCATACATCAAACTTTTCATTTTGAAAAGGGATACATACAGCTGAAATTAAGCTCTATCAAATGTTTCAGCCAACTTCTAAGTTTTTTTTATCAGTAATGAAGTTTTTAAATATTTTACATTTAGATAACAGTAGGTCAAACTATTTAACACCTATATCAAGTGATCCGTCTAAATCAATTACACAACAACCCTCTTCTCAAACTCATCTCTTTAAGGCAAGTATGACATTTTATTATCATACAATCTGGTTGATTTCTTGTCACCACTGTAATCCAACAAGTTTTATATTGTAGTTATGTTCTAATGACATTATTTTAACCAATCAAAACTTGTTTCTTGATAACATAACTAATTGTAAATGTGTAACTAGGCTGTCAAATTTCTCTACTTTGGGTTTCACTGTCCAACAGTTCATTACACTACTATGTAATTGTATTTATTCCTTACATCTCGGCAACAAAATAGAGTAAGGTCTCAGTCACACGTCAGTAAACACGTCAGACCCGTCAGTTTATGACAAAATATGCGAAGAAATGCAGTTTTACATCCTTTCTTACTGCAGTGAACTGCAGGGCTGTTTTTTTTTATTTTCTTGGCAGCCAGACATTTTTCAATGACGTCTGAAATCTGATCTCAATCTGCCGTTGAAGGAGGTCAGAAGGTTTATTATTCATATACCGATATTGACATGATGTTTTGCCTTTCAAATAACTTTTTTGGTTTTACTGCTGATTGCCATAATTGACACATCCTAAACAATTCTGTCATTACTCTTAGTCTGTCTTTGGTAAACTCAGTACTGAAATGATTTTTGTTTTAGGATGTGCTTGGAAATGTAATGTAGTAAACAAGATAATATCTAATTTCAGCTCGATTCACCAATAGAAAGTGATCCAGATCAAACATGTATGAAAGAAGTAACAGAATCTTCAGTGAGCAACATATACGATAGTGTATCAGATGGACCCCCTGCCTTCAGATACGGAGCTACTGCATACCTCGAGGAGAGGTCGGATCCTCAGGAAATTTCTTTTGATTCTTTTCAACTAAGCTCTGACCAACAAAACAATAGGGATAGCAGCTATCATGGGACTACGGCTTGTGGCTTTCAACTAAGCTCTGATCCACAACACAATAGGGATAGCGGCCATCATTGGAGCTCTGATCCACAAAAACCTAGCCCTTGTGGCTATCAACTAAGCTCTGATCCACAACACAATAGGGCTTGGGGCCATCATTGGAGCTCTGACCCACAAAAACCTAGCGCTTGCGGCTTTCAACTAAGCTCTGATCCACAACACAATAGGGCTTGGGGCCATCATTGGAGTTCTGACCCACAAAAAAATAAGGCTGGGGCCCTTCAACACGACCCTGAACCGGAGCACAGAAAGATTGATTTTTTAAGACAAAACCGTCAGCCACAGGAAAATACATCATCTTTATCCTCTCAACCAACTTATTCAGAAAGATTTAGGGACAAGTCTTTACCAAATACAGAGAATAACAGACCTCTTGCTACTCCACCAACGCATATAGCTTCTTCTAAATCTCTTGACCCAGAAAACAACCTTGAGTGCCGACCACTTCCTCAAAGAGATGATCAAAATGTCTGTTCACCATCCTCGATCAGTATAGCAAATGAAAACGCTAGCCTTTCCAAAAAAAATGTGTTGCTTGAAATGTTAAAAGAAAATAAAAAGGCGTCGATAGACATACCAAATAATGACTTAAGCAATGAGAAACAAAATAAATGTGTTAGATCAGAAGCAGAAATTCCTGTCGTTAAACATGGTGGACAAGATAGTAAAAACAAGTCACAATCTCCTGGCGTTGCTGGCACCAATTCCACCAGTAGTCCAAGAAATAAAATACCAGCTATTCCTGAAGATAAAGTGGAAAATCATCCTCAACAAAACCCAAACCATATATCCAAAGAGAATTATGAGATGAAGAATTTTGTCCGTTCTGCCACCATGCCTACATTTCCTAATAAATCCAGCCATTGTTGTATTCATTACATGCGTGCACAATCAGAACATTTGAGCTGCACACATCAATCCAATACAAGTGACCATCGTGACTTAAGGCAACCACAATCCAGAACAATACAGGTACAAACTGATGATGAATTCAGTGAAGGTGATACAAAAACTGTACGATCAGACTCAACACCAACACAAACAATCAGGTATTATTCTTACTTAGCTGTGTTTAAAAGTTAAAATGATGACTCGTCTTTTCTTCAGACTCCACTATTTATAGAAAAGACATATATCTGAAAATCAGAAGATTTCATTGTTTGAAACTCAGATTTAACATGATTCAAGTTCTGTTTTAATATTTTTATTTCGCTCTATAATTGTATTGAGCACTATTTTAACAGTGAACATATTTTATTATAGAAAAGACACCTATAGAAATAGAAAGAGAAATATCTAGTTTGAGTTATATTTGAAGGAATTCTGTGATTTTCCTGCAGTTTTGATACTTCTGAAGACTATTTACATATTTTCAAGACCCAAATCAAGCCGACTGTTCCCCTTTAAAATGTTTCTCTTCTCTTTTCAGTTCCGATCAGGAAGAACAGAATTGGAAAAATTGTTTACAAGAAAATTACACGTTTTTTATTGATCGCGTGGAATCTGTGACATTGGCTGATAAATTGTTTGAAAAGAAATGTCTTTCAGATACAGAGTATGAGAACATACTGAAAGAATCAGCTCGAAACAGCCAGTGTCGTGAAATCATCAAGATTTTAAAGAGGAAACCTCATCTGAAGTATGACATTCTCCATTGTTTAGATTTAACAGAGCAAAGACATATAGCTGATAGACTTCGTAAACATTTATCTCAATAACTGCTGCATAAAAGATACATTTAGGACAAAACCTTTTGGTTGTCAATGGACCCTCATACCATAGAGATTACTAGTTGTGTATGGTTGTGAATAATGAAAGTGGTCATGAGTATCGAATGCAACACACAAGTCAGTTACATGAGAGTTGCGTTCGAAACTTATGTCCGCTGTTCTTATTCATAACCATACAGATTACCAATGGTTACGTATGATTGTAAATAATGAAAGTTGTGTTCGAAACTTATGATCGCTGTTCTTATTCATAACCATACAGATTACCATGGTTACGTATGATTGTAAATAATGAAAGTTGTGTTCGAAACTTATGATCGCTGTTCTTATTCATAACCATACAGATTACCATGGTTACGTATGATTGTAAATAATGAAAGTTGTGTTCGAAACTTATGATCGCTGTTCTTATTCACAACTGGTTTTTAGAGTAACTGTGTATAGAGAATAATACCTTTGGGATCAAAGGTTCCAAGGTGGAAATCTCATACTACCTTTGACTTAAATAGACAAGAGATAATTTAGTTTCAAATTTTATTAGATTTAACAATACAACCGATAGACAAAGTGGAAAATAACAAATAATAAATAAAAATAATAAATAAAATTATGCCATATATATGTATATATTATTATCTCATCTTCACAATGTCCAGCTATTGTAAACTGTGTTTAATACCTTGACTACATCAGCCTACTTTATTGAATCACAGAAATTTGTAAATGAAGCAATTTGACTGGATTGTACGCTAGCGAATACAGCCAATCACAACCCTTGATTATATACGCAGCCAAATTGAATACAGTCTTTCTGTCAAGAACTCTGATTGACTGTTTTTGCCTGAATATAATCCAATCATATTGCTGTATTTACAAACTTCCGTGGCTATTTCAGTCAAGGTATATTGACAAGATGATATTATGTATTAATTTAACAAGCTTATGATGTCTAATTTTTCATATTTTTATTTTTTGTCTCCCATTCCTTTAACTCTGTCTCACTGATATGAGAAAAATAATCATGAGAAGCTTTGTTGTCATTATTAGAATTAGATTTATATTTAAAAATTTTAGGATAACTCTTCAGAAGATCTTTAGCAATTTGTCGGTCAATTTCATTATCGCAAGTCTCTTCTGATTCTATTTTCATCAATAAATTTGACATTTCTTGAGAACGATGGCAATGCTCGTGATATTCTGAATTTTTTACCACCAGACTCAAAAGAATGAGATACTCGGAACGTGCAGAATCGCCAGATGGGAGATCAGTAATCTGGCGAATCAAGATATCAACCAAAACCATTTCATCATTGGTGTATAGAAGATTTGACGTATCTTTGCTAGCGTACAGATCTTGGAAAAATTTAATGACTGAATTTGCCGGTTTTGGTTTGTGATCAAATATTTTTACAGGGTCGTCTCCCCTGTTAAATAGCAACATGACCTTTTCGGTGAAAATTTTCACAGTCCCTTTCTGAGAGAGATATTTCATAATGATATTCGAATTTTCTTCCATATGTAAATTATAGGCTAAAATTAACGTAACTAAAGATTCAGTGACGACTTCTTCATGCTCCGCAGACGTTGGATTTTCAATCAAATCAAAAACATGGTCGATAAACTTCTCATTTAAATGAATATGAAGATTTGAGGGAACCATTTCACCACTGGAGAAAATCATAGATAAAACTAAGGTGACGTACGACAGAAATTGTACATCGTCAGATTTGTTAAAAATGTCTTGAGATAATTCGAAAGGAAGCACTGAGAATAAGAGACTAGTTATGACTTGTTTGTCCAGTCCACATAATGACCCGAACGCTTGAAGTAGCAGTAGTCTAATACTTCGTCTTGTTTCCATCTGATAATATTCTACTAAGTTGTGTACATTTTGATAATTATCTTGACGAACAATTTTACAGCTAATCGATTTCTTCGCATTTTCCAATATTGATATAAGTTCTTGTAGATATTCAGAGATAATTTTTTCATCTTCGTGTAAAGCCCAGGAACGTTGCTGGGAATCATCCTTACAATCTGCCAACTCAGAGAAAATAACTTCTAATCTTTGAGCATCACGACTTCCTAAATCTCCTGCTGACTGTTTCGCTCCTTTACACGTCTTGAAAATATCGTCCATAGCAGACGACAATGGAGGTACTTTAAATCCAATATAACCCAGAACTGTTTCCAACGCTACTTTTGATTTATCAAAACTTAATCCAGTGTTAATACGAATTTCTTCGATCAACTCAGACCCGATATTTGAAGGTATGTGAAGATTTTTAGATTCAAAAATAACAGGGGATGTTTCCACAGACATAAAACTTGTAGAAACTTCTGGAGACGAAGGCATCTCATTAGATGATGAGATGAATGAATCTTCTTTTTTAGGAGTTACCATGACAACTTCTTTTGGTTGATCAGGAGGCGTTAGACTTGCAACTGTAGAACTGGTAGATACTTCTGGGGAGGGAGGCATCTCATTTGATGACGACACGAATGAAGCTTCTTTTTTAGGAGTTACCATGACAACTTCTTTTGGTTCATCAGTCGAATTTCTTGAACTTGCCACTGAGCTTTTACTATTGATGCCCAAGGAACTGTCCCGACATGGAGGAGGAGGTGGGGCTTTCTTTCCTGAATTAGATTTTCGACATTGCACTGGTTCGTGTTGACTGGCAACTGGAGGTTGTGGAGCTTGTCTTTTGGGTAATTTCTTGTGAATTTCATGACCTTTGACTGATTCTAAATACAGATTTCGGTGATGAAGTAATTTCTGGAGATTTTCTCTATCTATATGTGATATCACGCCCCCCGTTTCCCCTGCTTGTAAATGAATGGCCTCAATTGATCCATCAATAAACTTGATGACATCTGTTGGCTGGCAGTCAAACTTGTCGATGTAGTTATAAGGCACATAACCAATCTGACCAATTCCATTCTGAGCTAACAACCAGTCCTTCTTAGAATGACTTTGAGGTCCAGTGACAATGTCATCATTGTTTTCTTCCAGTAACGTAAATTTGTCTCCCTTCTCAAAAGTGAAATAATCAGCAAGATTGGATTTATAATCGTACAGGGCCCGATACATTGGAAGTTTCTAGGTCGAATCCACAAGCTGTCAACTAATAATACAACCACAAGGTCTTTAAATCCTCCAAAAATCAATAAAATTTTAATTTCCCATTTATTATTCCGCCATTACCGGAAGTACCAAGGGGACGTAACTCACACTCACAGATTTTTCAAATTTGTGATTTTTCATTTTTCCTTTTACAATACCGTTTCTCACCAATAAAGATTTAATTCTAGATCATCTGCATTTAAATGGCATTGATTCAAATCTATGAATATCGTTTTTATCAAAAATTAAACTACAAATAACTATCTTTCGTTTTTCATTTAAGATTTTAAATTCGTGTCAAGGAAATTTTTTACGGTATCTGTTCAATGCTAATGGCAGCTCTGTGTAAGTATAGAAGAATGCCACGTTGCTGGTTAAAATTTTGATTTTCTTATGCTTTTGCTGCATATTTCTTCTCCAAAATGCAAGATCTGAAGAAAGCATCTGCTTTAGTTTCATAAAATATCAAAATTCGGGGTGTTTCATGGAAGGATCGTCAAGAATGTTAGAATGAAATTTGAGAAAATCTGTGACCGGTTTTCGAGAATTTTGCTTGCGGGTTTGGAAGAGGGAGGCCGCTTGTCGAGTTTGTCTATTTTTAGAATCTATTTAGATGAGATAAAAATAAAACAGCATTCCTTGAGTGTTTTAATTCGAATAGCTTTACATTGATGGATATAAAGAAAGCAATTTCATGATCTTTAATTTGCCTTGCCTTGGACATTTTTCAAAATTCAAAGACAACAGAAACTGAAAATATTTTTGCACTTACAATGGCTACATTGTGATTAAGATGCCAGAGGCTTAGAGATGGAAATTAATTGATGTAATAAATTTTGGGTTTGGAGTTGATACTCTTTGTCCAATCAACTGAGCACTTTAATGAGGGCCTACCCATTAGAGTACTCAGTAGTTAATTAGGTCAAAATCGATGCAGGTGTAATCATTTGCTTGGTTTTAAATTGTTTATTGTAATGAATTTAAGGTTTTTTCTCTATTGAACTGATAAACAGACTAAAAACAGTTGACTGTTAAAAATCAAAATGCTTTCATGTAGGTCTAAACCATCTTGACAAATTTCATTATTGTCTGAACTAAAACAGCTCCTACAACTACCATTTTCTTTGTTCGAAAATTTAAGCATGCTTTTTACATTCTCTCATCATATTGGGGGAGTGGTAAAGTTATTATTGAGTTAGGATCTTTCGAAATCAGGCATTTTTGTAGCCTAAAGTATGTAGTTCAACACCATTCATTTCTTTTTCTTCAAAATGGCCCCTCCCAAAACTTGGATTATCCTTTCATATATTCACATTATATATTATTCAACTTAACTACACAAACAATACTCAATAGAGTTGAAGCTTAAATGCCTGTGCCCGTGCTTTCATAACATTACTTAACAACAATGTTACACCCTAAAATTCCAAAACTTTTTCTTTTCAGAAAAACTTTAACTAAACAAAACTAACAGTTGAGATTGACTAAAGACAAAATGTCAGCGAGCAACAACCAAGCTGACTCCAAACCTAAAACCTATCCAGGTATGGTATAGTTATTACCCCTCAATCTTTAATGGATTCACCCACACACATGATTGTCCTATTAATATGGTCCAGTATTTAGAAGAGTTCATTTGCTTGAACAGGGTGGTCTTATTATTTTCAGCCTTGCAATTGTCCTTTCTGATTCAAGTAGAGGGTTTGCAAGATCAAGGGAACAATTTACCCTTTCATTAGCCAATAAACATCCATTCAAAATAGCTGTAAGGTGCTAAATGATAAGATTTCAAGCTGAAATATCTTGTCATTTGGTGTACTTCTTGGAATTTTGAACATTTGAATTCTTTGTTTTCAGAGGATTCCAAATGGGGTATCCGTAAAAAGGTTTGGGATAAGATCAACAATGAAAAACTGGCCAACTTTCCACTTCCAGTTTATCATCGTATCCCTAATGTAAAGGTTAGTATTAGTCTTTATATTCTTCTCTTTAGCTCCCTTGTACTTATCTGAGGTAAATATACAAATATATTTAACACCTATCTTTGTTACTGTGTAAAAGGGAGCTTACGTCAACTTTGCCTTTGGCCGGATGGATTTTAGAAGATAAGGCTACAAGCAACTGAAGCCTTCTTGAAGCACCTGATCAATTGCCGTGATCATTCAACCTTGCAGTCATTCAACCCTTGACCTCTCAACTCCTCCCATTAATAACTTTTATTATGTGTTTATATTTTAGACGTCCGGTGAAGCGAGTAGGAAAGCAGCAGAGTTGGATGTTTTTAAGAATGCTAAAGTGATCAAGATTAACACCGACAAACCCCAAGAACAGGCTCGACTTTCAGCTCTTCAGGTACGAATAGCAACTTTTTCAGGGCTCAACCAGTGGAATTGCAAGAGCTACAGACCTCTGATTAAAAATTGGAATAGTGCAAATTGATGATATGACTGTCCCTGATACACATAAAGCAAGATTGACATAAAGCTAGCAAATTTCATTGACTTTCCACTTGAATTGAACCTTGTGTGGAAGTTGTTATATTTTGACCATTGTATATTTATCCAGGCTAATAAGACCGTGTTAGTTCCCACCCCAGGCAAGAAGACAGGTTTGTTGAGTAAGATTGTACCACCAGCTGATACCAAACCAGATGATTTGAAACCGTACGCTCAGGCTCTGGTAAATTATTTCTTTTTCATTATTGATCAGAAACCAAGTAACTTAGTAGCTTGCATGAGGAGTCGTCCTGGCAAAATTTCCCTCATCGCACCCTGCATGGCGTTGCCCGTTTTCATTAGCCCACATGGTGCAGAAAAGTAGGACGTAAAACTCATTCATTTCATTTTTTTGCGTGAGGAGTCCATAGAGTTTCTGTATTAAACAGCCAATCAGAGCCTTTGACAGAAAGACATGTCAACATTATGGCTTATTGTTACTTACTTCGAGAGCCATGGTTGACCGTATTCACTAGCATCCAACCCAATCAAATCGCTGCATTCACAAACTTCCTTGATATAAGACAGAGGACAATTTCAATCAAGATGAAGTATGTAATACCTTGACATTGTAAAGATATCCTTGGAAAAATGCATGTTCAATGGATCATATGGCTGACAACTGATTTAAAATGTTTGAGATCAATATAAATTGAATTATTTATAGGGTATGGGTGAAAACAGCCAGACGTTGGAGTTAGATGAAGTTTTGAAGATTGACCTTATCATCATTGGATCTTGCTGTGTTTCTGAACAAGGTAGGCTGTGAAAACTTCTTATTTAAGAAGCAGTATGATTGTTTTAATAGGGTGGGAAAGTTACATTAATGAAAACTTGGACTAAAATCTACAGAAATGTGTCCCTTAACTTGTCTAAAACTTTTTACAAAACAAAACTATTTAAGATAATTGAATACTGAAATCACTTGTCATATTTTGTGTTAAACTGAACAGTTAAACGCATAATTAACAAGAATAATTTTGGTTTCTAGGATACCGTCTGGGTAAAGGTGAAGGTTATGGAGATCTGGAATACGCGATGATGTTGAATGCTGGGTACATCACCAGAAACACGCCAGTCGTAACCATAGTAGATGAGGTCCAGATACAAGAGATACCATCTGATATACTGGAAGAACAAGACGTGACTGTAGACTACATTGTCCTGCCTGATAAGATCATTGAGACTAAATGTCCTAAACCAAAACCATCCGGAATAATCTGGTCTAAACTCACGGAAAGGTGAGATACTTATTGAAATGTGTGGAATTTGTTTTGAGTTTAGCTTTTTTGTCTTATGCAGTAACTTGTCAGAACGTTGTTATGCTGAGTAAGTAGAGAATGGGCTCAGTCACTGTTGTCTTGGCAACATTTCCCTCACGGCACACTGCATTTCACACTTCTTTCCTGTCATTTCCTACTGTATAGACAAGGATATGTCTTAGCAAAATATGTATATAGTCATCATTAACCCAAATAGGTGTACAAAATTAGAATGTACAATTTTATTTCAAACATCAATAATAAATGGCTTCTTTTTCGTTCTCAGGTATTTGGAAAGAATTCCAGTGTTACAGTTGCTAAGAGAAAAGGATGAGAAGAAAGGAGTAGATGTAAAACTAGGGGAAGTCGATCCTGAACCACGACCTAAATTCACTCCACCAAGGCGTAATCGACGACCTTACAATAATCGTAGGATGCGAGGACGTCGAACAACATCCCGAACTAGCGAGAGTGGTGGAGAGGAAGGCGGTGAGGAGAAGAAACCAAGACGACCACGAAACGATCGTAAGGGACGTGACAAGGGTGATAGTAGATCTAGCGACGGAGAAGGTGGAAAGTCTGAGAAAGAGAATAATCCTCGACAACGACCTCGTCCTCGACGACGACCTAACCAAACTAACACGTCTGTTTATGTTGGCGGGTTACCAAGGTCATTGAGAGTCAGTGAATTCAAGAAAGATATTCATGATCGAGATGTTCAACCCCTGCGAGTTGTTTGGCACGGAAGCAACGGCCATGCTTTCTTACAATTCCAGAAACAAGACGAGGCCGAAAGCGCTCTGCAGGCTTTGCAGAATTTGAATATTAAAGGTCGTGACCTTAAGGTCGAGAAGGCAACTGGAGGTCGGAGGTCGATTTCAGAGAAAACTTCTGAAAGTCATGATCAACCAGCTTCAGAAGATTAAACCAGACGCAAATTTCTGAAAATCTTTACAGCAAATGTTCGTGAAAAAAATTTGTAAATATTTTGGCCATTAAAATTGAAACAAAAAGAAGTTTTGTACATATTTTGGTTTGAAAAAATTCTTAATTGCAGAAGCTTTGCAAACATTCAAAGTTGCTGGAAATTTGTGACTTTACTTCAGGCAATGTTTTGCGGCCATATTTACTGTAAAGATTTTCTGAATTTGCTGACCAAAATTTAAAAACAGGCTTCTTCAAAATATTTAATCATTATAGTTTCATGATCAGATTTTAAACATAAAAATGGCTGTCTGCTTACTTCTGATTCAAGATAAAGACTTTTCGCCACATTTTGACAATTTGACAAAGGTGTTGATGATCAAGTCTAAACTCAGGATTAACCAGTCAGTCATTTTGTTAAAAACCAAATTTCAATTCACATTGTGCCTTCAAGTTCAAATTTTAAAGTTTAAATATTTACTTTAATTCGGGTTATATTTGCATTTAAATTTTATCAAATTTCTAGTAAAAATTCAAGCTATCTTTCTTGTTCTCCCAATCATTTTTGGCAAAAAACTTTGATATTAATGTGTTGAGTTAACTTTGCCTAAAACTTCTGGCTTCAGCTGAATATATTTTTTCTTCATAATTTCAAGTTAGTGTTCAAATAGTTGTGTTCCAATTCAAAAATTTTGAATAAAATTATAATAAATTTTAATTCATTCATTGATCAATTTTAAAAGATCTTTTAAACTTTTTAAGTAGTTTTGTAACTTTTTTTTAAACCTTAGGATCGGTCTTCTACTTAATTTTCCTTACTTTCTTTTTTCTGAGTGAATTTAACATATTTAAATTTCTTTATTTAGGCATAATTTACGTTTTTTTTTTTGGGATATGAAAGAAATTTTGAAAACGATTGGGGTTTTTACATGTTATATATTTATATGATTTTGTTATTTTTTTTTTTTTATTTTTTTTTTTAAGGGTTAGTGCTACAGGATTTAGTTTTAAAAAGAATTTCTCAACTTTTTGTTTTTCTGAATTCACGATTTTAGTGAGAACTACCTCAATAGTTTGTCGACAGAGATTCCGTATCTAGTCCTTATTTTTCTGATTTTCAATATTAGAATTTGTAGAAATATATTTGGTTTAGTACACATCAATGATGACATCATTTGACAAGGACTTGGCTAGCGTTGCTGACGAAATCTAACGATTAAAATAGTCATCAGAGTGGAATTTAATATTGAGAAATACAACTGTTATGACAAAATATATCGCACAATGTTTTTGGAAACCTGGCACCAGTGGAGTCAATTTACATAAAATGTATTCTAGATTTTTGTGCATAGATCTGTTATAAAATACAGTAACTGTTATTGACCAATTGATGTGTACTATTCCAAATTATCTTTGATAAACATTGTATTTTAAATTACGTGATTTTTATTGATTATTTCTCATCAAATTCCTTGTCTTTTTCGAAATTTTCAAAATATTTTATGTTAATGTTGAACAGTAATTGCATGCAGAATCCATTTCGTATTTCAATTAATTTTTCTTTGTTCTTTTTCTTACAAAATTTTCATAATAATTGACTAATTATATAGTAATTAAAATATTCTAGAAAAGCCTGTATATTCAAATAATTAAAACATACTTCAAATCAAGTATGAAAGAAACATCTTATTCTGTTTTTTTAACAACGCCATGCAGTTAGCAATGAGGGGAAATTTGCCAGGATATCAGCATTAGCCTACTTGTTTTGATTTCTAACTGTCTAGGAATCTCTAATGTGCTGTTTATTGTCTTATCCACCAAACGACTGGACTATTATCCATGTCCATCTGCCCCTGAACTGCCTCACTGGCAGGGAATACAGTTAATATTGAACTAAGACCCTATTCAAACATGTTACCCATGTAAGTCACAAGCTAAACATATATATATCAACAATCTGAGAATCAAAGAATTAACTGTTGTCTTTAGTCGATTGACTTCTAAACTGGAGTTATTTCCCTTACACTGTAAATGATCTCTGTGTATAGTAGGCGGATCTTAACCATTATAATTACGATGTTACAAAGCCCCAGGCTGGTGATTTATACACAAGATTCTCTGATAAAATATTTTATTGCTTCATGTTCTAGTCTAGTGAACTGTTCCTCGTTCACTCACTTCGCCAATAAAATTTTACAGTCACTTGTCTTGGCTCCAGGCGTCGCCATAATCTTCTCCGAGGGGTGCTCTCGTGATGTGAACTCACGACCGACATTTATATTACTGATATAGCCTTTTATAGCCGTCTAAAACTCAGACATGATCTTGAAGTTTGTCCTGAATTTATCACAGAAAGATGGGCCTAAAATAAAACTCACCCACCCCACCCACTTCTTTCTTTTTCTCGCACCTGGTGCTTAATCCCTATACAAATTTCTTAATTCATTTCATAAGCTGATGATCATTTCTTGCATAAATATTAACACATGAACTAAAAATATCATAAACTTGACAGCAATTGACAAGAAATGGCGTTGATTTTAATACATGCTTTATTACTTAGGATACATAATCGGTTTACAAATAAATTCCATTCATTCATTCATTCATTCATTAATGTCTCGTGACTTGTGACGTGACGTGATTGGTGTGACGTCAGATAGATTGCGGAGTAATACGAAGATTAATTAATGACTGTGACCTTAATTAAAACAACATTTCACAATTAAATTAGGAATATTCTTTCAACTTAAAAGGATTAAGATTATGAAAGGGTCTAATGAAGGAGTCATTGGAGATTAACGACGGATTACCATGGTACTATATTGTGTATCGGAGGTATAATCAGTAGTAAAACTATATAAAGCATGGGGTTGTGAGCTCCAGTCTCGAGGACGTGAAAACTGCTCCGCCGATTGCACGTGTTGTGGGACTAAACTTCCTACTTCACGATTTTCAATCATTTTCTTAAAAAAAATATATAAAAAAAGCATAAAATCTTGAAAAATACCAAAAAAATCAGCAAAACTTTAAAAACTACAGAAAAATTAGTTGGTTGAAACGGTAAGCAAGCGAGGGAAGCAAGTAAGAAGAACATAAACGAAGAAACAAGAAGAGTAACAAGTCCGCCATTTGTAAAATTTTATCACCATATTTTTTGAAACTACTCGACAAGAAAGCAATCCAAGATGAATCCAACCAATGCGAACTACATAATGGCCACCCTGTATGTGGGTGATTTACATCCAGATGTCTCCGAGTCTATGCTGTTTTCCAAATTCTCTACTGCAGGACCTGTGTCGTCTATTCGAGTATGTCGAGATATCGCTACTCGACGATCTTTGGGCTATGCGTATGTCAACTTTTCTCAGCCTTCCGATGGTAAGTTTACTTTCATTTACTTAAGAATTATTCTTGCTTTGATTTGTGTGAATTTTAGAGCAATCGGATGTTAATTTCATTGTTTAATCGGGTCAAATCCACACCACCTGTCAACGCATCGAATTCCAATATGGCGGATATTTCATCATAACTTATCAATAACACTACTACAGCATGGTCATGTTATGGATTATTACATGGACTATGCCTAAAGTACATCCACAATGTTTACGGAATGGCGTTTTGGCAATTATTTTGCCTATTCTATATGAATAATATTTTAAATATTTGTGAAAGAGTATTCAATACCAAGTGCGCCGTTGTCTAAGAGTACCAGCATTTATAATTAATTCGATTTTTTTCAGCGGAGAGAGCTCTCGATACCATGAACTTCGACACCATTAAAGGGAGACCAATCCGTATTATGTGGTCGCAGAGAGATCCTTCTCAACGTAAATCTGGTGTAGGAAATGTCTTTATCAAGAATTTAGATAAAAGTATTGATAATAAGGCTTTGTACGACACTTTCTCAGCTTTTGGTAACATCCTTTCTTGTAAGGTGAGTTCAGAATTCGTATGGGGCCTCTCAGTGATGTCACAGGATTACATAAAACAAAGGAATAACGTATAGATTGGGATTCTTAGATTGTTGCACATGTGGACCCACATCTGCAGTGACTGTACTAGTATTGCTCTAATGTACTTGAACAGAAATGACTAAGCTTATAAAATGGTAATTGTTATGGGTCATGTCAAATTCTCTGCAACAGCTGTTATGATTTTACTTCAAATGTAATTATTTTTCACTTTCTACTAGTAAATTTTGATGTATTTATTCTAGATTGCTGCAGATGAACAGGGATCTAAGGGGTATGGATTCGTCCATTTTGAAACGGAAGAAGCTGCTAAACAGGCTATTGAGAAAGTGAACGGTATGTTGTTGAATAACAAGAAAGTCTATGTCGGAAAGTTCATCCCACGTCGGGAAAGATTAGCCATGATGGGAGACAAAGCCAAGAGATACAACAATGTCTACATCAAAAACTTTGGTGAAGAATTCGATGACGATACTCTGAAGACTGAAATGGAAAAATACGGAAAAGTCATCAGTGCTAAGGTAGGCAAAGAATTTTAAGAATCTGCTTGGGTATATTGGGATTTTGCAAATGACGAATTACATGAATTTTAGAGGCTTGGTTCTTGTAATTTGATACTACACTGTGGATACTATTGGAGAAATTCGAGAAAGTGGTATTGTTTTTCTTTTTTTATCATGACTGTAAGCAGATGTATTTAGTTTCTTTTTCTGTAACTTCAGGTCATGACTGATGCTACCAATCAATCTCGAGGGTTTGGCTTCGTCAGTTTTGAAGATCCCGAGCAGGCTGAAAGGGTAAGCCTTGACATTATAACAATTTATATTTTTCTTATTTATTTTTCTCTCATTGCACACCTTATGGCATGCACTTGTCATCTTTATAGTAAGCCAAGTTTTCATTCATTGACTGTGATATGTTTTAATATGTGTATCAATATTAATGAATATTCAAACTGTATTTCAGTGTGTGGATGCTATGAATGGACAAGAAATGAATGGTAAAACATTGTACGTTGGTCGAGCCCAGAAACGTGCTGAACGTCAGGCTGAATTGAAAGAGAAATTCGAACGTTTGAAAATGGAGAGAATTAATCGTTATCAAGGCGTGAATCTTTACGTTAAAAATCTTGATGATTGTATTGATGATGAAAAATTGAGAAAGGCTTTCTCCAAGTTCGGAACCATTACTAGTGCCAAGGTAAGAACTTGTTCTTTGCAGCAATTGTGAGTGTCTCTTTGCTATTGTTCTTTGAATATCACTTCAAAATGGCTAGTGAATTTAGTGCATGCAGTGTTCAATTTTGATCACTTTTGAATGATGCATCTTTTGGTTGATGGCTGTCTTTTCCACAAACTTTGCTCATATTATTGACATTATTTCATGTGAGTTTAATTGATTTGGTGTTGATTTGGATTCATAATTTTTATCGATTCTTTTGTAATTTCAGGTCATGGGTGATGGACACCGCTCCAAAGGTTTTGGATTTGTGTGCTTCAGTTCCCCAGAGGAGGCAACGAAGGCTGTTACAGTCATGAATGGTTTTATCATTGCTTCTAAACCATTGTACGTAGCTCTGGCTCAACGAAAGGAGGAACGTAAACAACAGTTGGCTTCACAGTATATGCAACGCATGACCACTATGAGACAATCTATGGTGAGTTTTCCCACTGGAGAATATTCTACTCTACTACTACTCGCTTCTGTTCAGCGAGTTAGCTTGCGTACAATTTCCTAAACTACAAAGCTACTCTGATAACATTTCCTGTATTAAATGAGCCCTGGTTGATTAAAAGAATTCTTAGCATCTCACTTTTTCGATTAATGGTCAAACTAGTTATCCTGATTATCCTGGGTTGTGTTTCTCGAATGTCTTTGCAGCATGAGATAAGCCTTTGATTTGGACGATTAGGTAGTCTGCTTTAATTTTCAAGAATGAATTTCCAGGTTTTTATCTAATAGTAGCCATTTTGATATTCATTCATTAATCATCTTACAATTTTTATTTCAGCAAAATGGTCAATTCAGTCAGATATTCCAACCAAGTGCAGGAGCTGGGTATTTTGTACCCTCCATGCCCCATGCTGCTAGGGGGTACTTCACACAAGCTCAGATGCCACAAGTTCAAGCTAGTCCCAGATGGCAGACTCCATTTAGACAACCTCAAGCCCAACCTGGTGAGTTTTCTCCAAAGTTTGTTTTTATCATCAGGCTCAGGAAATCAAGTGTGCGGACCCAAAGAGGATTTTAAAATTTTGGTCAGAGGGAATGACAGCCTAGACGTTCTGATGGTACAATAAGCTGCAGAGAGGGATTACGATAACCTCTTGCTGAAGATTGTCATTTCAAATGCATTGATTTACAATCTTATATCATAATGCTTTATTTTTCAGCTAACTTCCAATCTGCAGTACCTGGCAACCAAATCAGACAACCAACTCGATTCACAGGTGGATCTCAACCTGTCCGAGCCAACGTCAACGCTCGTCCCATCACAGGACAGGCTGGTTCAGCTCAGGCGATGAATCAGAGAATGCCAGGAATGGGTCCAGGAGGCGCTGGAGCAGGGGCTATGAACCAACAGCGACCACCATTTAAATATAACAGTCAGATGAGAAATCCACAAGGTGTACCTCAACAACAGGTGTTAGGCGGTGTAAGTATTTTACACATTTCAACATGTTAAAGTGGCAATAGGTTTTTGAATGGTACATGCTCGGACTTGCTCATGCATGCTAATACTGGCAGTGTTTTTAAGAGAAATTAATAATAAAAGACCAACAATATATATTATTAAAGAGCACAAAAGTTCCGAAATACTTCCATATAAAGCACTGGCCTAGGTTACAAAGTATAGTAAATAAATAGTTTTGAGAATCCATTTTTACTGATAATTCAGACTCATCTTTGTAATCTAATTATATAGGTGCACCATGATTTAAATTAATGATTATTTTTTCAGGCTCCAGCATCAGTTGTGATACCTGGACAAGACCCTCTGACTGCCTCCATGTTGGCTGCTGCTCCACCACAAGAGCAGAAACAGATGTTAGGAGAGAGGTTGTTCCCCTTGATTAACAGAATGCACCAGGATTTGGCTGGTAAGATTACTGGAATGTTGCTGGAGATTGATAATTCTGAGTTGTTGCACATGTTGGAATCGCAGGAGTCCCTCAAGGGCAAGGTGAGTTGAATTTTTTTGAATTACAAGGGAGATAACTGACATCAAAACTTCTACAATTGTTTGAGTACTGCGGTCTGTGGTTTATGAATATTCCAGAATATCGTGGCTAAATTAAGACATAGCCTTCAAATGCATGCGCCCTTTGGATCATTACCCATAGTTGATAATTGTTGAAAAGATAGAATAATTTTTAACTTTTTCTTTCTCCAGGTGGAAGAAGCTGTTGCCGTACTTCAAGCTCACCAAGCCAAGGAAGCCACCACCAAAAGAGAGTAACTTCCCTTCAATGACTAGGATGGAAAACTTGATTATCGAAGCCAAGATGTTTGAATTACAAAGTTTAAAATTTGATTGGTTAATTTTGAATTTTGACATAATTGTAAAACGTAGAATTTCCAACACCAAATTGTCTAAAAATTTGAATTCAAATTATCAAAGCTGAAGTAATAAAGTTTAGTTAAGATGTTTCCCAACTTACCAAAAAAATTAAAAAAATACAAATTCTGAAATTTGATTAAAAATAGTAAAATTTTTGTAACGATTAGACGATTAAAAAAAAATAGCAAAATCCTTGATAAATTTGAATACAAAAACGTAACATTTTGGGTAGTAAATGCTCGGAAAATAATATATAAATAAACACAAATAAAAATACGAAACTTATTCAGAATTTGAAAAAAAAAAAAAAAAAATAACTGTCTTTTCTGCAGACAGACGTCTGATTAAAACCATATTTCTTAAACCATAGACCTTATTTCCGGCCTCATTTTAAACATATCAAAAGCGAGGTTCATAATGCAATGTATTGATAAGACGGAGGTGTCATGTAGAGGAAAATGTATTGCTTTGTGAACCTCGTTCTGGATCCAATATGGCTGAATAAATAGGGTCTATTTAACGATAACTTTAAAAAAAAGTCTTCAGTAAGGTTTGTCAGCTACATGACATTAAATTTAAAAAAATACAAAAATTTAAAAATGTACACCAATTTGTAAAAATGTTTTAGTTTTGCAGAAAGAAGAATCGTTTGTTTCTGTAGAATTTTCAAGTTTAGTTTTTCCTTTTTAATTTATTCACAAATGTTGACAAGTTTCAATGTACATCACAAGAAAAGAAATATTTTTCTCTTGTACTATATGTTCAGTTCTCTCAGGAGTGATGTAGCTTCTGAATTCTTTTTAAAAATTGTCTTGTAGTTCTTGACTACTAATTTGATGCTCTATTATCTTAGTCTTTTTTGCTCTACAATAAATTCTATCAATCTGGATAATGTTTTTATTCTCCTATTGATCAATGGATGAGGAACAAGTTGTTTGCTGGAAGCCCTTTGACTACCCTTGTGCTACAGTTTGAAATTGGAAAGGTATCTTAATTCTGTTGTCCTGGTAAATTCCCTCGATTGCTCAATGAAATGAATGGAACTTGCACATAATCGGGCCACTGAAGACCGGTAACACAATGCAGTGGGCGACAAGGCAAGTTTCTCCAAGATGGAGACTTTAGTCTGCCTTTAATTCCCTTTCCAAGCCCTAAGCCCATTGAATGCAGAAAAATCCATTTAGCTATTCTATCCGAGATTGATATGTCCATTCTTACTTAGGTCTTGGGACAATCAAAACATCCCTACTCTAACGTTGATGGGTCTCCCACCAATGGTTCAAACTCACTGGTTTTCCTGTTATGTTTGCTGAACAGCCAAAATGATAGTACAGAAACCTTCCAAGCCCCATTGACTTAGTGGAATAGGAAAAAAATACTATTTAACTACCTCGCAGATAGTGAATTGGACATTTTTTATGATGGACAATGATTATTATGCACTTAAAATGTCACAAAAATTTGAAATTGATAAGTTAGTTGTGGGCTGAAGCTTCATTGAGAGTAGCGTCCCTTGAATTAAACCAGCTCTTTAGCATTGAAGGAGTGAAAGGAAAACAAACCTACGTGCGTTCATGTCAATGTCTTTAATTAATATAATTAGTTGTTTTGAAGAACCCGAGCAGGCTGAAAGTGTAAATCTTGGCAATATAGCAATTTATATTGTCTAATGTTGTTTTCCTTTTTCGCATTGCACATCTTAAGGCATTAGCTTCCGTCATCTTTATCGTCAGTTAACAAGGATGTAAATTCAAACTGTATTCACAGGCAATGACAGTAAAACATTGTACGTCGGTCGAGCCCAGAAAAGTGATGAACGTTAGGCTGAATTGAAGGAGCAATTGAACGTTAAATTAGGAATATTCTTTAAACTTAAAAGGATTAAGATTATAAAAGGGTCTAATGAAGGAGTCATTGGAGATTAACGACGGATTACCATGGTACCGTACTATATTGTGTAAAACTGTATAAAGCATAGGGTTGTGAGCTCCGCCGATTGCTCGTTTTGTGGGAATAAACTTCCTACTTCACGATTTTCAATCATTTGCTTTAAAAAAATATATATAAACAGCATAAAATCTTGAAAAATACCAAAAAAATCAGTAAAACTTCAAAAACTACAGAAAAATTAGTTGGTTGAAACGGTAAGCAGGTAAGAAGAACATAAACGAAGAAACAAGAAGAGTAACAAGTCCGCCATTTGTAAAATTTTATCACCATATTTTTTGAAACTACTCGAGAAGAAAGCAATCCAAGATGAATCCAACCAATTAGAACTACATAATGGCCACCCTGTATGTGGGTGATTTACATCCAGATGTCACCGAGTCTATGTTGTTTTCCAAATTCTCTACTGCAGGACCTGTGTCGTCTATTCGAGTATGTCAAGATATCGCTACTCGACGATCTTTGGGCTATGCGTATGTCAACTTTTCTCAGCCTTCCGATGGTTAGTTTACTTTCATTTACTTAAGAATTATTCTTCCTTTGATTTGTGTGAATTTTAGAGCAATCGGATGTTAATTTCATTGTTTAATCGGGTCAAATCATTTTGCCTATTCTGTTCGAATTATATTTTAAATATTTGTGAAAGAGTATTCAATACCAAGTGCACCGCTGTCTAAGAGTACCAGCATTTATAATTAATTTGATTTTTTTCAGCGGAGAGAGCTCTCGATACCATGAACTTCGACACCATTTTAGAGACACCAATCCGTATTATGTGGTTGGAGGGAGATCCTTCTCAACGTAAATCTGGTGTAGGAAATGTCTTTATCAAGAATTTAGATAAAAGTATTGATAATAAGGCTTTGTACGACACTTTCTCAGCTTTTGGTAACATCCTTTCTTGTAAGGTGAGTTCAGAATTCGTATGGGGCCTCTCAGTGATGTCACAGGATTACATAAAACAAAGGAATAAAGGTGTACTGATCGGGATTTTACATTGTCGCACATGTGAACCCACATCTACAGTGACTGTACACTAGTGCTGACTAAAATTAATACTTAGCTGCTCTAATGTACTTGAACAGAAATGACTAAGCTTATAAAATGGTAATTGTTATGGGTCATGTCATATTCTCTGCAACAGCTGTTATGATTTTACTTCAAATGTAATTATTTTTCACTTTCTACTAGTAAATTTTGATGTATTTATTCTAGATTGCTGCAGATGAACAGGGATCTAAGGGGTATGGATTTGTCTATTTTGAAACGGAAGAAGCTGCTAAACAGGCTATTGAGAAAGTGAATGGCATGTTGTTGAATAACAAGAAAGTCTATGTCGGAAAGTTCATCCCACGTCGGGAAAGATTAGCCATGATGGGAGACAAAGCCAAGAGATACAACAATGTCTACATCAAAAACTTTGGTGAAGAATTCGATGACGATACTCTGAAGACTGAAATGGAAAAATACGGAAAAGTCATCAGTGCTAAGGTAGGCAAAGAATTTTAAGAATCTGCTTGGGTATATTGGGATTTTGCAAATGACGAATTACATGAATTTTAGAGGCTTGGTTCTTGTAATTTGATACTTGTGGATACTATTGGAGAAATTCGAGGAAGTGGTATTGTTTTTCTTTTTTTATCATGACTGTAAGCAGATGTATTTAGTTTCTTTTTCTGTAACTTCAGGTCATGACTGATGCTACCAATCAATCTCGAGGGTTTGGCTTCGTCAGTTTTGAAGATCCCGAGCAGGCTGAAAGGGTAAGCCTTGACATTATAACAATTTATATTTTTCTTATTTATTTTTCTCTCATTGCACACCTTATGGCATGCACTTGTCATCTTTATAGTAAGCCAAGTTTTCATTCATTGACTGTGATATGTTTTAATATGTGTATCAATATTAATGAATATTCAAACTGTATTTCAGTGTGTGGATGCTATGAATGGACAAGAAATGAATGGTAAAACATTGTACGTTGGTCGAGCCCAGAAACGTGCTGAACGTCAGGCTGAATTGAAAGAGAAATTCGAACGTTTGAAAATTGAGAGAATTAATCGTTATCAAGGCGTGAATCTTTACGTTAAAAATCTTGATGATTGTATTGATGATGAAAAATTGAGAAAGGCTTTCTCCAAGTTCGGAACCATTACTAGTGCCAAGGTAAGAACTTGTTCTTTGATGCAATTGTGAGTGTCTCTTTGCTATTGTTCTTTGAATATCACTTCAAAATGGCTTGTGATTTTAGTGCATGCAGTGTTCAATTTTGATCACTTTTGAATGATGCATCTTTTGGTTGATGGCTGTCTTTTTTCCACAAACTTTGCTCATATTATTGACATTATTTCATGTGAGTTTAATTGATTTGGTGTTGATTTGGATTCATCATTTTTATCAATTCTTTTGTAATTTCAGGTCATAGGTGATGGACACCGCTCCAAAGGTTTTGGATTTGTGTGCTTCAGTTCCCCAGAGGAGGCAACGAAGGCTGTTACAGTCATGAATGGTTTTATCATTGCTTCTAAACCATTGTACGTAGCTCTGGCTCAAGGAAAGGAGGAACGTAAACAACAGTTGGCTTCACAGTATATGCAACGCATGACCACTATGAGACAATCTATGGTGAGTTTTCCCACTGGAGAATATTCTACTCTACTACTACTCGCTTCTGTTCAGCGAGTTCTATATTTGAAAGATTAACCTCATTTCATAAACGGGCTGTCTGGAGCACCCAGAGTTACTCAGATAGTTACTGAGATAATCAATTCAATGGAAGTATCATACACTTGCTATCCTGATGAGGGTTGTGTATCTGGAATGTCTTTGCAGCATGAGCCTTTGGTTTGGACGATTCGGTAGTTGGCTTAAGTTTTCAAGAATAAATGGCCAGGTTTTTATCCAATAGGGGCCTTTTTGATATTCATTAATCATCTTACAATTTTTATTTCAGCAAAATGGTCAATTCAGTCAGATATTCCAACCAAGTGCAGGAGCTGGGTATTTTGTACCCTCCATGCCCCATGCTGCTAGGGGGTACTTCACACAAGCTCAGATGCCACAAGTTCAAGCTAGTCCCAGATGGCAGACTCCATTTAGACAACCTCAACCTCAACCTGGTGAGTTTTCTTCAAAGTTCGTTTTGAGCTTGCTAGCATTGGGCTTGGGGAATCGTGTTTGCTGACCCAAAGAGGATTTTAAACCATGTGGGTCAGAGGGCCTAACGGCCTAGTCGTTCTGAAGGTACAATAAGCTGCAGGTAGGGGTTACGATAACCTCTTGCTGAAGATTGCCATTTCAAATGCATTCATTTACAATCCTATATCATAATGCTTTATTTTTCAGCTAACTTCCAATCGGCAATACCTGGCAACCAAATCAGACAACCAACTCGATTCACAGGTGTATCTCAACCTGTCCGAGCCAACGTCAACGCTTGTCCCATCACAGGACAGGCTGGTTCAGTTCAGACGATGAATCAGAGAATGCCAATGGGTCCTGGAGGCGCTGGAGCAGGGGCTATGAACCAACAGCGACCACCATTTAAATATAACAGCCAGATGAGAAATCCACAAGGTGTACCTCAACAACAGGTGTTAGGCGGTGTAAGTATTTTACACATTTCAACATGTTAAAGTGGCAATAGGTTTTTGAATGGTACATGCTCGGACTTGCTCATGCATGCTAATACTGGCAGTGTTTTTAAGAGAAATTAATAATAAAAGACCAACAATATATATTATTAAAGAGCACAAAAGTTCCGAAATACTTCCATATAAAGCACTGGCCAAGGTTACAAAGTATAGTAAATAAATAGTTTTGAGAATCCATTTTTACTGATAATTCAGACTCATCTTTGTAATCTAATTATATAGGTGCACCATGATTTAAATTAATGATTATTTTTTCAGGCTCCAGCATCAGTTGTGATACCTGGACAAGACCCTCTAACTACCTCCATGTTGGCTGCTGCTCCACCACAAAAGCAGAAACAGATGTTAGGAGAGAGGATGTTCCCCTTGATTAACAGAATGCACCAGGATTTGGCTGGTAAGATTACTGGAATGTTGTTGGAGATTGATAATTCTGAGTTGTTGCACATGTTGGAATCGCAGGAGTCCCTCAAGGGCAAGGTGAGTTGAATTTTTTTGAATTACAAGGGAGATAACTGACATTGAAACTTCTACAATTGTTTGAGTACTGCGGTCATTTATAGGTTTTAGTTTACATTCAAAAGCCTGATTTTCTAGCATTTGTATGCATATCATGGCTTCCTTATGACTGTTCCATTTGTCGGTGGTTTATGAATATTCCAGAATATCGTGGCTTAAATGCATTCGCCCTTTGGATCATTACCCATAGTTGATAATTGTTGAAAAGATAGAATAATTTTTAACTTTTTCTTTCTCCAGGTGGAAGAAGCTGTTGCCGTACTTCAAGCTCACCAAGCCAAGGAAGCCACCACCAAAAGAGAGTAACTTCCCTTCAATGACTAGGATGGAAAACTTGATTATCGAAGCCAAGATGTTTGAATTACAAAGTTTAAAATTTGATTGGTTAATTTTGAATTTTGACATAATTGTAAAACGTAGAATTTCCAACACCAAATTGTCTAAAAATTTGAATTCAAATTATCAAAGCTGAAGTAATAAAGTTTAGTTAAGATGTTTCCCAACTTACCAAAAAAATAAAAAAATACAAATTCTGAAATTTGATTAAAAATAGTAAAATTTTTGTAACGATTAGACGATTAAAAAAAATATAGCAAAATCCTTGATAAATTTGAATACAAAAACGTAACATTTTGGGTAGTAAATGCTCGGAAAATAATATATAAATAAACACAAATAAAAATACGAAACTTATTCAGAATTTGAAAAAAAAAACAAAAAAAATAACTATATTATTGTCCTGTTATTTGGCTTACTGCCTTCTTCAGTTATTTTACTAACTATTTAAAGAATTTTTTTATTCTCCTATTGATCAATGGATGAGGAACAAGTTGTTTGCTGGAAGCCCTTGACTGCCCTTGTGCTACAGTTTGAAATTGGAAAGGTATCTTAATTCTGTTGTCCTGGTAAATTCCCTCGATTGCTCAATGAAATGAATGGAGTGTTACATCTTGCAACTGCACATAATTGGGCCACTGAAGACCGGTAACACAATGCAGTGGGCGACAAGGCAAGTTTCTCCAAGATGGAGACTTTAGTCTGCCTTTAATTCCCTTTCCAAGCCCTAAGCCCATTGAATGCAGAAAAATCCATTTAGCTATTCTATCCGAGATTGATATGTCCATTCTTACTTAGGTCTTGGGACAATCAAAACATCCCTACTCTAACGTTGATGGGTCTCCCACCAATGGTTCAAACTCACTGGTTTTCCTGTTATGTTTGCTGAACAGCCAAAATGATAGTACAGAAACCTTCCAAGCCCCATTGACTTAGTTGAATAGGAAAAAAATACTATTTAACTACCTCGCAGATAGTGAATTGGACATTTTTTATGATGGACAATGATTATTATGCACTAAGAATGGCACAAGAAACAAATTCGTCAGTCAACATTAAAAGTAGCGCTTAGGTGTGGTCTGGAGCTTCATTGAGAGTAGCGTCCCTTGAATCAAACCCGCTCTTTAGCAGTGAAGGAGTGAAAGGTGTATGGAAGCAAAACAAACCGACGTGTGTTCATGTCAATTTTTCTTTAATTAATATAATTAGTTGTTTTGAAACGTTAAAATGAGTTCCTTGCTTGGAATACCGGACGGAGAAATACCCCGAAACACAGCATTGTCATGGGACACCAATAAAATAGGCGGGGAGCCGGTGAGTTTCATTTGTTGGCGTTGACAAGTGACAATTTGAGTCCATGGGTTCATGTTAGATTTTTTTTTGATTCTAGAGCACATTCACACCTTTGTCTTCTGAAAAATATGCCTGTGTCCATTCAATAGATTCATAGGAAATTTGATCTACATATATGAATCTATTCTTGATGAATGCATGAACTCTGGTGACCTATTGTCAAACACATTTTCAAGTAGGCTATAGTTTTTGCTATTATTTTTAATTAGTTTGTACTACATTTCAGGACTGGATGTTGGAGAATTGTGAACTGCCAGTATGTTCAGTATGTGGATTGAAAATGAAACTGGTGATTCAAGTCTATTGTCCTCTGAAAGATTCTGTGTATCATAGAGCTCTGTATATATCTACATGTTCTACCAAATCATGTTGGAATAAACCTCATAGGTAAGATCCTTATCTTATGGTTTCTCCCCAACTCCCAGAAGGTCCTGACTTTATCTGTTCTTTGTTTTTTGATGAAGGCAATGGCGTTTCTACAATGGGAGGACCCCAGAATCGAGGATGATCTGCTTTGGCCCACGACTATCAAATTTCTTACATGCCTGGTGCTGTTAGCCCTCCTTGACAATTCTGTGGCCTTCTTAGAACATAACCTAATGATTCATGGTTACATAATGCCATTGTGACATAAATTCTTTGGTATTTATTTTCCAGTTGGAGAGTTCAGCGCAGTCAGATTCAGGATGAAAGCTCGAAAGCCAAAAGTGGAGAAGCTATTAAACCAGATAGCTGGGGTGTACAGGAAGATGATTGGGGAGATTCCGCAGTTACCATGGAAACTAAAGACTGGTGCGATGATGCTGATGACTGGGGAGAGGAGGATGATTCTGTTGCCATGACAACTAAAAAGGACGCAAATTCAATTGATGATTTACAATTTAAACAAATGAACATTGTGAATGAAGTTTCCGATGACAATAGTAACCATAGCGATGAAACGCAGCAGACTGATGTAGTTCAAAGCGAGGTTCCGAATATTGATACCGATTCTGTGAGACACGTGTTTGATCTGTTAGCAACTGGTGATAGAGGACACAAAACAGAACTAACGGCAAATTCTAAATCAGAACAATTAGGCCTACCCTTTGATTCGTATTATTTGAGTGTGGTTGATGAAAGTGACTTTCAAACAGAAAATATCGAAGTTGACAGTCTATTAAAGAATTATGAAAAGAATTGTGGGGGTGATCTGAAATCTTTGTTTAAGAGGTAAGCTCTATCAAGATTTCTTCTAGCTATGTTAAGCACTGGTGTATCTAGAAAATGCCCAAAGTGGAGGCTAAAAATGAGAGATGTCTTTCCGAGATGAGGCCAGGGGGGTCGCAGCTCTGGGGTCTGTAATGAAACATGTCTTACATGAGACGCGTTGATTCGTTAAAAATAAGGTCAAAGGAATAGCTGTATCAGAAGGGGATTATATAGTTGTCTTTTAGGTGATAAGATGCCATGGGTATCAATCCTCTTAAGGATGAAAAAACAATTCCACAAAGTTCCAACAATATTAAGTATATTTACATTTGTTTCTGGGTCCATTTCAGCCAAAATGACAGAGTGGGGTCAGGTGCCCGAGAAGAGTATGAAAAATCAGAGATAAGGGGAGATAAGCATTCACATAAATTCTTAAAAAGATTGAAGAGATGCCCTCAGCAATGTATAAGGTAAGGTAGATAACTTTAAGGAAATTTTCACTTTAGTTTGAATGCAGTAAAATGCACTGTTAAGTGGACCTAACCATGAAATAGATCTACTGTTATCAAAATACCATAACTAACACTGCTGTCCTGGATAAATATTTCCTTCATTGCACAGTGCAGAATGTTGCCTTCAAAGTAGGATGCTGACCTCCATGCCTTTTAATTTTTTAAGGTATGAGTGGAATGGAGAGCCGTTTTTTATAACCAAGCCTTCTAAAGATCAACAAAGGGAGCTAACTTGTCCGAACTGTAGAAGTCAATGTGTTTTTGAACTACAATTGATGCCACCATTAGTCAACTATCTTCACAATTCACATGGTAAGACTTTACTTGAAAACCTGAACTGGTAGTAAGATGACTTAATGAATTGAATGGCATTCTAACAGAGCAAGGGGTATCACACTCAGTGACTAGTTAGATTGCTGTCTGCTAGTGTAGTTGTAGCTCAGTCATCAGATAGAGGGAGGTCTCACTCTGCAGACAGTCAGTTGTCCACTGCATGGGCATTAAGCATTAACTTGGGGACCCCTCTCAATAAGTTCGATAGCTAAGGTATCAACCCTGTGTTGAATCGCAAACCTTTCCATCTAACTGCTCGGACAGTCTGATTGTTGTCTGCTAGGGTAATGGAATAGCTGATTGGCAAGTTGAACTATCTAATTTTAGAAGTAACTGGTATTATATTCTATGTTTCAGGTGATAGTAGTGAATTTGGAACTGTTATAATATTTACGTGTAAAGATAGTTGTTGGTCATCAAACCAGAGACTAATGGAAGAGACCAGTATAGTCCAGTCTGATCCTGATAGTCATCTATTCAAAATCTAATGTTTTTTCAGTAATCTTTTTAGCTTGTTAACTTATAAGAAGATAACACTGTTACAAAATTCTGAGTTCTTCTGTCCCATGTCCTCTGCAATTTGATTAGATTTTACGCTAACGAATACAGCCAATCAGAGCCCTTGTTAGTAAGACTGTAAACAATATGGATATCCGTGTGTGTAATCGCAGGCTTGGATTGGCTGTATTGGTTAGCGTCTCTAATATAAATCAATGCTTAGTGGGTTGATCCCTTTAATTCAATTTTCTAAAAATATAGGGCTTGGGTTAGATTTTAAGTGGATAAGCCTCTCTAATTTTAATTCATTGTAAAAAATAAGTGGGTTGACAGCTTTAATTGAATTTTCTTAAAAAACAGAGCCCTTTTATTAAAATTTAACTTGATCAGTCTCTTTAATTTTAATTTCCATCATTCTTATATGGGTTGACACCTTTAAATCAATTTTAATAGAATAACCTAGGAGATTGTTATCTAAGTTTAAAAAGTAAACATAAGGCTTATATATCTTATACACATTAATCTGTTTTCGTACAGCGATATCTTACTACTCTACTCTGAAGATCTCCTAATGTTAATATTTGATCAAACAGGTTTCACACTTTTAAGGAGATTATCAATGGTTTATTATGTGGTTTTAATCACCTTACTAAAATATTCAACATTTATATATGCACCCATTCATACCTAGGCCAAACTTTCATATAAACTATTATTAAAAATATCTTAAGAATTTAATACACTGACGTTTCTATGAATCGTTAGGGGAGGGGCCACAAAACTGTCAAGGAAGGAATGGGGCAAAGAGCATCAGGCATTTAAGAACTCAATGATAATAAACTGAGGGATGGGGTTGGGGGGGGGGGGGGGGGGCTCAAGCCACTAGACAATCAGCTTGCTTGCACATGACCTAAAGGGAGATAGTGGTCTAATTATTTGCTTTACCAGTTGAAGTTTGACAAGGAGTGCTGACAGCTTTACACGTGCGGAAAGACAAAAGCATTGCAAGAACCACAGACATCTGATTGAAAATTAGAATGGTGCAAATTGATGCTATCAGTGTCCCTGATAAACATATGAAATTTAGAAAGCCTCATTACAATCCCTTTAAGAGAATTGTACAAACATGTCTTAAGTGAAATATCATGACCTGCCTCTAGCAATAAAAAAACACGTCATGATTGAGTTATTGTGTTCTTCACAGGTCATCTGTGACAGGTGGGTGCTTTTTGAAGTGTCCAGTGACCATAGTTTGACCATAATAAGTCCTCAGCTTAATGAGCAAGGCTATTATGACTTTTTGTGATTTGAATACTAAATACATGCTTTTCTTTTTGAATAATTTGGACAAAATACCAAACTGGTCAAGTTTGAAAAGAGTGCTGTTGTCTAGAAGACGCCACTATCACAAAAGCTGCTAATAATATCTCAGGGCCTTTGTGATAGTGACATCATTTAAGTGAACCACACATGTTCGACTTCTAATAGGAATGGTGTAAATCAATGCTATCAGTGTCCCAGATACACATAAGAAATTAAGTTACAATCTCTTTAAAATGACACAGTTAAGAAAGCGTCCAGAATAATATTTTGTCACAATGCTCGAGGGATATTCATCTCAACAACAGACCTCTCTTCAATCAACCTGTTTATTTGAAATACGAGTTCTATATTTTTTGTTATTGACAAGACCCCAATGGCTAGTTTATAATAATTTAATAACAAATTAGGCTCTTTATATTCTATAGATAGACTATTTTATATTGTTCTCTTATAGACCAACATTTAATACTTGACTAAACTTAAATTACTCTGACAAGTGCCTTCATTTTCTTTTTTTTTACTTATAAAATGTTGAGCAAACGTAAAGGACAAAATACAATAAAATAAAATAAATAAATAGAAAAATAAATAAAAAATAAAAAAAATAAATAAATAAATAAATTAATTAATTAATTAAAAAAAAATTTCTGATTTCATAAACTTACCCTTCTAAATAAATATCTTTCAACCAAAAAGTGATATTTGTGAGAAGGTATGGCTAGAGGAGTTGAAGATTAGTTGATGACATTGGTAATATTTTTACGAGGACATTGTGTAGTATCTCAGATCTGTTATTTTATTATCTTCATATAATCTGTAATAAAAACAAAAATCTTATTTATCTTAAACATCTACTAGCTAAGGTCACCTTAATGGCACAATCCCACATTTTTACCCTGTTAGATATGGAGGTTCACAAGTAGTGTAACAATGCATTGCCTAGGTTTGAATCCTCCTCAAGATAACAATTCAGATGCCTCAGCCTGTGATTTCGAGTGTCTAATTTCAACCTTTATCAACTTACAACTATAATCCTATCAGTAACCAAACTGAGCATAAAAAACTGTCCATAAAAACTGAACTAGAGAACCTTTTTTTGAAAGTGATAAACCCTAAAAAGGACCAAGTTAAAACTCTATAAAAACACTGTGAACTACATTAAAGGGTGACATTAGAGCCACCCCCTAGGGGTAAGAGGTCACTGGGGTCATTTAGGGTCAGCAAATTTCAACTTTTTGAAAGACTATAAATTTATTGCTGTAGATGCGGTACAATAGGGGTCAGTAGGAGGGTCAGGCTTGTACTGTTTGATGATGATTTATTTATCTTTAAGGACAGTTGGGATATCAAATGAGCCCCTATTACTCTTCAAACTTCTCTTTAACTTAATAATTCTTCACCAAAGGTTAATTCTCTACTTGTCATCTACATGAAGCCCATATTGTGGTCAAAATCCATGGATTTAAAGGTATAGAGTCATGTAGAATGTATAGATATAGACACAAAGAGGATTTTATGATTTGAAAATGATGTCATAGTATTCAAGCCCTCCATGCAACTTAGCTACATCCCTCCCCTAAATCTTAGATTTGAATTTGCGGAATGTAATGTCATCATATCTTCAGCACTCCATGTAAGTGAGCTACAGTCCTCTCTTAAATTAACCATAAAGAACATACAGAAGAATTTTGAAGAAGAGAAAAGTTGTAATTTTCCCAGTATGTGATTGTCAACTATGATATATTAATGGAGAAAGCTGATATACGTATTGTGAATGAAAGGACTGAACATAATGCGGCCCTTTTTGCAAAACAAAAATAGACGAATTAGGGGGATTTTTTCCACGATTTTTCTTGTGCACCACAATTTTGTTTAAAAAGAAAATTTCCCACACAGCCATTGCTTTCATTAGGAGCTATTAGACCCCAAAAATTTGGAGTTTCAAGTTTCTATAATGAATAAAATAGGGGACTAATGGATATTTAATGATGAGAATTTGCAGTAGACTTGAAAATAGACCTGAACCCTTTTAAACTGTGAGAAAAAAGGGAGCAGGTGCTTGTTATACAACTGGATATAAAACAAGAGCAGGTTAATGCTACTGTCCTCGCAAAAATTTCTCTCATTGCACACTGCATGGCATTGACGTCCTTATGAGCCCAAACAGGTGAAGAAAAGTAGGATGTAAACTCCATTCCGAGTTGTTTCAGAATTTTATACAACGGGCTATAACATGTATAACATGCAAGAAAGATTATCATTATATAAGGGCATTATAGATTAGAATTAAACAGGTGTCCCTTTTTAAACATTAATAACTTAGTTTCTTCTTCTATATTGTCTTTTACTCAACCATGTCTTCTTGCTTAGTCTAGAGTTGGTTAAATCTGCCCCTTCTTAATCTTGCCTTATACGTTTTATCTTAGGTATGTTAAATCTGCCCCTTCAACCATCCTGTCAAATTAGTGTTAAGTAGATTTGCCTTCCAATATATGTTTCTAAGAGAAAGAGCCAAAGCTTTTAAAAGAACATCTTCACAATGTTGAGCTAATAAGAACTGCGTCTAATACCTTGACTGCAATAGCCACCTTTCTTGTATCACAGAATGTAGCGATGTGATTGGATCCTTGATCTAGAAGCTGTATTTGCTAGCGTACAATCCAATCAAATCATAGTTCATAATAGATTGACATTGTGATGGTGTCTAAAGAGGAGGGCAAATCACACTAACTTTTGAAGAAAATGGGAAGGTAAAGGGCACAGTGTACCAACCTAACCAACACAAGAAGTGACTGTAGGGTGTAATAGGAAGTTACCTTTAAGACAAGCTGTAGATTGGAGTATATAACAGTGATACAGAGCTGATCTGGTAGTTAACTAGTTTACATGTGACAACTCTAGTTACAAATTTAACAACTTGGAAGTTAGTTCGACAAAACCGAATTAAAATTAAAAACTTAAGTGACAGTTTAAAAAGTAGGAACTTTGTCAAATTTCGTAGAGAAATAACAACTTATAGTGACAGATAAAAAACTTGGAATTTGTGAAATAAAATAAGGAATTTAGCACTAAAGTGAATATTTCAAAAAACTTGAATTTGAATATTCTGTAACCTATATGTGAGTTTTCATTTTAAAGTTGGAAAAAGAAACTTTAATATCGTAAATTCAGTGAATGATTATGTGAATTTCAGAGTGATTTTTATAATACACTTTTATCTTTACAACAAAGAAGACTAAAAAAAACAATTTGAAAAAGATCCTTTGTTGTCAATTTGTGAATGTTAAAAGAGCTACAGATTTTGATTAATCATTTAAAAAAATTGATGACAGTTATTTAAACTATCAGTTAGGCGGTAAACGTGTTGAGGTGATGAGATTTGATATAGATTTCTAACGTAAGGTGTGAAAAACAAACTTAATTAATTGATTTGATGGATATTTAAATATAATGATGTGTTGTTTATGGAAGACATGATACGCTGATTTGTTAGTTTATAAACAGAGTTTACCGCTTTCATGTGAATTCAATATTGAGGAATTGCTACGAGCTAAGAAAATAATTTTAAGTTCATACGTGTTAATGTAGCCTCTTTTGTTAGTTAGAATTTGTAGGAGAAAAGAGAATTTAAATTCAAAACTTGTAACACAGGCTAATATAA